CTCTCTGGTTTCTGTTGGCTTGTAGTAAAGAAGGGGTAAAGCCCCTTGATAGTTTTTATTTATATTGTTTTTATTAAATAACCTTAAAGACATCACTTCACGCGCTGCAGATAACATCGTTCGGAAAGCTACAACCATGCAGTTAAACTGATAAATCAACTCACCGTCTTTATTGTGTATTCAAACATTCATAGCTATTTTACACTTTTCAGATCACAAAAAATCCTGAACATTCTTGACGTTGAAAGTACTTCATAAAACAATCATGGCTTGATACCTGTATATTAGAGAAATTAGATGCCTTTGAAAAGTCCATTAGGGTGTCTTAAGTGCAGCGTGGGATTGTATTACCAAAGATCCTTCCTTCACTTGAGGACAGGTGAACGGTTCTCTTCACTTCCTGACTGACGTCTTAACCAATTTACATATGGACTTAAAACAGAAACCTCACCTGATTTGGAAACATTGACAGTTTTAGCCTGCTGCCTGGTCTCAAAGAGGATTTAGCCAGAGTCATTTAAGACAATGATTACCGGTGGCGTGTAGCACTGAAAAGAATAGCTAAGTGATGACTGGCTAAGGCTGACTCACCTTTACCTGCACTTGCTTCATGCTTTGCCTTAAATTCACTCATTCCACACTCTGTGAAATATTGTGTCCCTCCCTGACGTTCTCTACGTGCTGTCCCACATAGAACGCTCTTTTACAGAGTGTCACAGTACAAGGACGTAATGACTTTCTCTGTGATTACCAACGGGCTAAGCCACTCTACAAGCCTCTTATTCCCCCAGCAGCTGGATCAAGCAGCAAAAGTTACTCGTGAAATCCCCTCTGCAGTAGGCAGCTCCGGCTGCTGATGAATGGAAAAGGCCCAGCACTGACTGGTTGCGAACTATCAATCTAAACAGGTGGAGAGATGCAGTGCACTTATTTTTGGGCCAGTGTTTAAACTTCAGCTGTTTTGCTCTGGATAGGCTCATCACAGACAGTTGTGTTATTTTTAAGTAGAATAGACTCATTTTATACTGTGGAGCTTCAAACAGCAACTTTATTTACACATATTTACATTTGAACCACTCAGTATTAATACTGACCTTTGCATGTTTCAGTTAAAAAATGCCAAATATAAGCAGATCTTCTGCTTTCCTGCATAATTTAATAACATCAATTCATCTTTTACCTCTGTATTAAAATATAAGCATCTTCTTTTTTAAAAGTGATCAATTTGTGACCCTTTAACTTCTTTGAAGTTAAAACTAATGAGCTGGAGTGCTTAAAAAGACTCCAGTTGTCACTTGCATAGTCTTCGCCCAGATAGAATTGACCTCAGTTTATGTGTGCATGCATGAAAGCAGCATTTGAAGTGGTGTGGCTTTTTGTGAAAAACATAGTTTGCTGCCTTTTTTGTGTCGGGATATAAAGGAGTTGTCCACTTATTTTTTCTGTTTTCTGTCGTGGGTTTGTTCTGCGTGGGTGCGTTGGTATGAACTCTACACACGCCACCTCTGTTTATTTTTCTTGAGTTCCATTTGAAGCTCATATTTATTGCTTCATTTTTTGCCTCATTGGAC